CGTATCTAATTAGAATAAGTACGTATATACGAATGTGGAAAAAGAAAATTTGTCGAAAAAAAAGTGGAAATTGGTTTTGTATGAGAAAGCTAAAAAGAACTTACCCAAGGCGCCCATGCTATGCTATCGAGTAGCATCTGCAAAAGAACCAACCGAGACAAAATTTTATTGTAGTTAGTTAGTTATAACTAAATTTATTTCAACAAGTTATATTTTCTTACTAAAATAAAATGAAAATACGGAAAATCTCATACATTCAAGAATCCGACGAAGAGTCCCATGCAAAGCATCGTCTCTTCTCCTATAAACCGAGCGAGTGTGGGCATCAAGACCATCTGCACGATTATATAACAATCGTGTCAATAATAAAGAATCGAATTCAAGGACATAAAATTTCAATATAATGTAAGTATGTAGCCATTGGATCATACACTTGATACAGTAGCTGAAATGTAGGTAATAAGCCATATATCAGCAAATTGATCTTTCCCGAATTGAAAACGTGCCTTCAAGTAATACTGCACGGCAACAAAATGTTACAAACGTTATTCGCTGCAAATTGTAAACACGCAAAATATAATATAATAAATTAAGTAATAAAAAAAAGAAGAATGTAATGTACCATTAAGAAAGCTTGAATCCCTGCCTCAGCAAGACTATTGAAGAAGGCAACAAATGATGCCAAGGATAGAGTAAAGCTGCAAAAACGATACAATTGCATATAAAATTTTGTTCGTTTATTTTCAAATACGTGATCTTAATTAAAAAGCATACGTATTCGGAAGGAAAAGAAAAAAAAGAAAACCAAAACCTGCTCTTGAGCAAGCGAATGATATCCTTAGGCAACGGGACTTTCTTGACCAAGTCTGATAACTTCAGAGGCTCGTGTTCAACATGGTTCGTTCGATCGGTCACATTTTTCAAGATCGGCTGCTCAAGTTCATCGACTTTCCGAGTCGTGTCCTTGAGAAAAATCCGCATATAAACAGCCGCAGTAAAAGCAGCAACTGCCGCCACCTTCAAAAAATTTAGTGAAAACAGAGATAAATTCTTATTACTTAATAGCATTGTATACTTTTTTTTTTCGGTTTACAATGAAACTAACAAAATATAAATTTGATTAAAAAACCTGAAAAATACGATCCGTTGAGAGTATCCGAGCAGTCAATGTGCCGCATACGGTTGCAGCAGAGAAAACTCCAGCCAAGATTCCGAATGCAGAGACACGCTTTTGCTCGGTTACATTATCAGCCTAAGCACGAAAAAGAACATGAGTTTCATACACAAACACAACATTAACATAATTATTTTATTAGATTAACAAAGTAATTACGTTAATATCCACGTGTTGTGAGTGTACTCAACCAAACCAAACAGAATTAATGTTTGCTTAGTTCTTACCACATAGCTAAGAGAGAGGCAAATTACACCGCCATCCGTGACCATTGCCGTTAGAGACTTCAAAACATAGTACACGTAAAAGAACTCTGTTGTCCTCTTCACCGCCATTACAACTGCAGATGAAAACAATGGCAAAAGTCGTCGTCGAACAAAAAATGTTAACTTATGCAACAATACGTATACATAATGATTATCGTTAATTAACAAATATTTCGTAGTAAAACACACGTAGAGGAATTATGGCGAGGGTCAAAGGGATCGTAAGCATGACTTTTCGGCCATATGCATCCGAGAGTGTACCCAGCAATGGCATCATAATCACAGAACCTAAGCCTCCAATCTGTAACATGTAATATACCATACGTTATGTGACTACAATCTTCATATTATTGAACTTTATTATGCATAAGAGATTATTTTTTAGAAGAATACATACCATGTAATAGTATTATATTTGAATAATATGGTTACTTGTGTTATGCAGCAAAGAATAGAAATAGTCGACACAAATATGAGGTGCAATCTCACTATCCCAGCTCGACTCGGCTCGTTAATTGTGTAATGGGTTGTTAATCGACACGACTCGACTTGTCAAGGCTCCAGATCGTATAAAGTTTGTTTAGTTAACAAGTTGAGCTTGTCTCAGCTCGTTAAAACTCAAACATAAAATTTTCATATCGTTTTTTGTAACTCGATTTATTAAGGCTTGAGCTAGACTTAAAAAATTATAAATCTTTATATAATTGTATGTAGCTCAACTCGTTAATATTGTTAACCGCATTGAGCTTGTTTATTGGCTCGTTTTGTTAGTGAGGCTCGAGCCTGAGGTCAAGTAATTTGACAGGAGCTTATCAATCTCGAATTGGCTCGTTACACCCATAATTATAACCTAAATTAAATTATTACTAGTACAGAGCCCGTGCGATGCACGGGGTGCAAAATTTTAAGGCTATTTATACAGACTTATAATTATATATATGAATAAAGAAAAATGTACAAGATATATATAGTACGTACCGTGCAAAGCACAAGATATATTTATTTAGAGAATATTATATTATAAGATGCAATATTCAATAAAAGTTTATAATACGCAAGAAAATTGTACAATGTTCAATAAAAGTATTAAAGTCTCTTGTACATTAAAACTACTGAAAAAATAATATTTTAATCAATGAGTTTCCTTTCCTTATAGCTAAATTGTGAATGTGATTTGAGGAGTACAACAAATCGATATATAGCTGACTTGCTTTTTTCATTGTAGTTTTTTTTTCTTTTTTTTTTATAATGAATTTAAAGATATTCTGAAATATAGCAAAAATTAATTTTTTTATTACAATTAAGAATTTTACTAAATATAAACTCTCAATCTACGGTGTTAATCAACGTTTAAGTCTAAATAGTTAGAATTTTTACCTCTTTTAATCAACGTTTAAGTCTAAAAAACAATAGAGTTATTATAAGGTTTTTTTCTACTTCTTTTGAAACATTAAATATGAGCATGTTAGGGCTAGCTTGTAAAATAATTAATATATTATCTCACTAAAACATTTATACTAATAAAAATTTAATTTTAGCATATAAATTTATCCCTTGATATAAGAGAAAGTAACAGTTTTACTTATTGTTGTTCACCATATAATATTTAATTATTATTTTATTATATAATAAAAAAGTAATATTTTTAAATAGTGTAGTAGAATTGTTATAAAATTATATGATTTTTTTTACAATATGGATTTAATATTTTTTTATGATTTGATAATATAAACAAATCTATACTTAACTTTGACAAATAAAACAAATAAATATTTTTGTAAGTATTTAATGTATATACTAAATAGAAATATATTTGGTATAATCAAATACCAAATATAATCAAATAAGTCAAAGTGTACATTTTTATTTGGTATTTGATTTTTTTATTATTAAAATATTTTTATTATAATTACCTTTTTAAAATAAAATAAATAAATAAATCAATTAAATTAATAAAATATTATAATACCAAAATAGTAATGACATTTAATGCAGTTGACTTTTCTGGATAGTAAATGTAGTAAATAGAATCTCCTTTTATATAAGTATAGATTGTATAATACGGAAATAGTAATGCAATAAATGTTGTTGACTTTTCTTTATACTAAATCTGGTAAATGGTATACCTTTTAATATAAGTATAGATTGATTAGTTTGATTAGGTAAGTATAGACAAATATAACTTGGACTCATTAATAATGGGATTTCAGAAATGGGAAGATCAAACAAGTTGGTGAATATTTAAATATTTAAAGGATTGCAGATTAAGTATAAGAATAATAGTCTAAATTTTTAAAGATATACATGGTAAGCACGATGGGTAAAAAAAAATATAATGCCGCCAACTAATGTAGTCACAATGGTATATATTAATACTAATCTAAGTTGAGCTAAAAAGTAGGTTTAAACATAAATTTATCCATATGACGTCCTCAAATTGAAATTCTCGTGTCACCTAATAGTTGGAGAGAATTTTCTTTTCAACCTCAACAACTTCCATATGGTTAGGATAAATAAAAATTACATGATAAATATACATAGAGGTATACATATCATTTACATGCATTGAGGTCCACTTAATTTTTTATTTTTGGTATGTCTCATTCAATGTGAATATTATGTACATTCCTATGTACACTATTATGTACCTATAATATTTCTCTTTTTATAATATGAATTTATGTGTTGTGAGAATTGAAGTACTGACTAAGAGAGGTATGATATATTGAACCATTCTTATATTTCTAGCTTACTTATATTTAATTACAAATTATACCAACATCAACTCAACTCGTTATATTTTTGCCTAATATTTATTTATAATCTCAAAATTATCTTATATTATGTGAAAAATAAAAAATAAAAACTCCTATAAACAATTTTTCCACTTTTTCATCTCTATATTTTGGTTGGAGCCAAAACTTTTTCGAAAAATTTCTACATCAACCCCTACCAAAATATGGATTTTCTTTTTTCTTTGCCTTTTTTTCTGGTCTTCAAACTTCAAAATACAACAAAAACAGGGAAAGATAAGGAAAGACGCACATACGTACCGCTTGCTGGAAACCGGTAAGATAAATGGCGAGCGAACACTCATCTTTTCCCGGGCACACGGCCGCCAGAGTGACGTCAGCAATCGTCGGATTTACGACACACGTGGCAAAATACGATAAAAACACCATCACAAACAGATGCATCAAGTTCTTCCAGTTCTCCATTTTTTTTCCAACTTTTTTTTTTTACAAGTATATATCACTAAAATAACAAGTTATGGATTTGATAGTGAGTGTAATTTGATTGTTATTTTGTCACCAAATAACAAGTTATGATTTCAATGAAGGGTTATAAATATATATACATATATAGACTAAGACTATAGTGTAGGTATGTACCTAATATTTACAGATACATTCAACATCTTTTTTAATAAATAAAATAGTCCCCACGCCCTAGATACACACTTTGCAGCTATTATTGATATATCACAATTTCTCTTGTGACGCAGTCTAATTGTTAGGCGTGTTAAACTTGTTATATTTTTTATTAAAAAAAATAAATACATATGTATACTGAGAAATATCATTCTTTCGTTTATGTCAGTTTGTAGAGCATGATATTAGAGTTTGAAAATATTCTTATATGTTGAATCACAAAAATTTGTATGATGTGGTGGCCTGACAATTAGGCGGATTGACAAGTCATACTTATTTCTAACTACAAATGCATATTTATATTATAAAATGATATTTTTATTTGTATTGTTTTTTTAGAGTATGACATTTTAATTTGAAAGAATGTACAAATGTTGAAAAAGTAAGACTATTACTTACCGTTAGGTGTCGTTAACAGTCGATGCTGAAAATTTATAGTTGTTTACTAGTTAAATCTGTCTAACAACATGTTTATCTATTTG